TTCAACTTATAAATATATAATTTATATAAATAATTTTAATTTAATTTCAACTTATTAAAATTTGAAGAAATATTCAAAACTTAGTTATAAATAATAATAATAACAACAACAATAATAATAATATAAAAAAATAGGAACCTTAGGGTTTCATAATTATGAATTGAGTTTTCAATTACAAGACATAGTAATTTTTATTTATGCATACTTTTGTTAGAGTTATATTTTTTTGGAGCTATATATTATAATCTTGCAAAACTAATGAAATGAGTTTTAATGTCATAAAAAAACTTTAACAATCTAAAATCTATTAATGATTAAAACTTAAAATGTATAGGATTCAAAAATCTAATTATTAATTCATTTGATTCGAGTTAATCAGTTAAATCAAAATATTTGCAAGCTTGAATTGAATCAAATTTGAATTGGAAAAAAAAAGTTCATGCCGCACTTAAGTCAAGAATCAAACTGAGCCAAACTTTAGCAAGTCGAGCCAAACTATGTTGAGTTTGGCTCTACTCATCTCATTTTCAACCCTATTTGGAGTGGTTATCTTAGAGTACTTACATCTTCTCTACATATAATTGACTCTAATGTTTTCTCTAATAAACTTTGTCGGTGACTCCTCCAATTTTATTAGCTCATTATAACTCTAAGTGCAAAATTGAGTACACATACTTTGTGAGTAGCACTGTCAAAGAGAATAACAAGAAAAACATGTACTTTTCTGGATGACTATTACCACACACAAAAAAGGCATTCATTCTAAAGAAGTTAGCAATAAGTTAATTCACAGAGGAAGGTTAAAGGTTGATTTGTGCAAAATAAGAGAAAAGAGATGAATAAGAAAAAGAAATGAGTAGGAAAAGAAGTTAGTAAAATTTCTCTACTTAATAAAATGTAATTCAACTTCTAAATATTCTAAAGTTGATAGTCTTCCTTGACTTGTTGAAGATTGTTTGAATGATTTTCTTGATTTACTCTTCATGTATTTGTCACCACCTATTATTATCTCAAACATCAATATAGGAGGATTAATTAAGATAAGAACTAAAAATAAGTCAGGTTGAGTTGAACTAGTTTAAATGGATAATATTTGACTTAATTTGAAACCTGACTTGAACTTGACATAAATATTTTTTTAGTCCAAACTAGATTTAAATTAGTGAATAGTTCAATTCAATCTGTTAGTTCAAATTACATAAACCAAGAGTAAAAATTTTTGAATTCTATACATTTCAAAATTTTTAGTTTATTTATAAATTCTAGATAAAATGATTGTTTGAGGTTTTTTGAAAAAACAAAACATAATTTATTCTATTAACTTACAACCTAAAAAATTACTCTCCCTTACATAAAATAATAGAAAACTCAATTTATAACTATGAAACTTTAAGGTGCATATTTCTTATCTTATTATTAACTTATAACTAAGTTTTGAAGATTCTTTCAAATTTTTATAAGCTTGAAAATAAATAGAAAGTAAATTATATATATATATATATATATATATTACATTTATATGTTGAGTTAATTCATGAATTGAATAAGTTGAATTATAATTTATTTGTGGAACTCAATTTTTAGTTTAAGTTTAACTTATTTAATTCATGAATCAAGTTCAGCAAGTTATATTATAAAATCAAATTTTAAACTAATTTTAGTTTAAGTTCAATTTATTTAATCCATGAATCAAGTTCAATAAGCAAATTATAAAATTAAATTTTGAACTATTTTTATGTTGATTAAATTCATTTCCTCCTTTCTCTTGGCATACTTCCCTAACTGATTAATATAAGGTTGCGGTTAAAATGAAAATGACAAAATCTCAACAAAGGCATATGGGAATGTCATTCTCTATGGGACAAAAGTAAAAAACTTGATCAAGATTTGTCGCAATGGTCCTCATTCTACCGCTACAAATTCTATGCCAAGGGAATAAGCTCCTATTAAATGAATATCCAATGATCCAAAACTTAATCATATATAAGTTCCATATATGTTGCAAGAAAAATAACATCTATATCAAATGGGAGAATAATTTCATTAGAATTTCATACAATGATCTAAGATTGAGAAATAGCCTAGCTTAAAGTGCACAAATATTGCCAAATCCAAGTTAGAGAATAGATAAACGCTACAATACACATCTAATTTGATCTTCATAAGTATAAAAGAAAAAATTCACTCTTAAAAAATAAATAAGATATTGAACATCTAATATTAATGCACAATAATCTAAATTTCCTAACCTAATTTTGAGTTTTAATAATAAATATTCTTCTTAAAATTATACCTTAATTTAGATGAAGATTAGAATGGATCATCTTTGTAGGTGGTTCACCATGCACTACTATTTTTGTCCCTTAGATTAATATGAGACATGGATTATAAAAGTGTACCTTCAACATTATATCTTAGCAATTCATCTTTTCCTAGTGCACTATCGTCAAACACGATTTTCGTGGACGATGCTACCACTTTTTTTATTCTTTCCCTCTTCTTATTCTTCGCCCATACTTGGGTCTTGTTTTTGTTTTGCATGTTTGATGCAAAAAGGCAAGCAAATGCAAGTCTCATGTTACAATAGAGCAGGCAAGTGTAGACCACGTTGCGAATGCATGCAACAAGGGTGTCAAATTGCAAAGCACAATGTGGCGCGAGGTAGTGGATCACGACCAGAGCATCACCAAAGGCAATTTCCAGTGACGACACCATTTTTACTTATTTTCTCTTTTGTTCTTTTTCCATGAGTGTGAATTTGTCACTTGAGTACAGAAATGTTGCACGAGTGCAGATCTTCCACGATGCACGAGTTCAAATCTATCACGAGAAAGTACGAATCTGCTACAATAGAGACTCACAAGTGCAAATCTACCACGTGAGTGCAAATTAATATTTCATGATGCAATGGCTCATGAGTTCAAATTTGTTGCAACAAAGTACGTATCTATTGAAAGGAGACGTGAGTGCGAAGTGTGAATTAATGCAGCAAAGATGTGCTAGTGCATCCAAGTATGGTTTGTTGTTTGCCTAATGGGTGTTCTAGAATGGAACAATTTACATGAACAACTTGTTTAGTGTTAGACATCGAGATATGGAATCTAACCGAGACATTCTTCCTTCTTTAGGGAAGAGAAATGGAGAAGCAAAATTATAAGTGGATAGGCATTCTAGAAATGGACAACAACATTTCAGTGGTGGTAGATAGTAGTGAAGATTGTTAGGAAGAAAAAAAAATAAAATAATTATAATATTCTAGTATACCCTATATTAATCTAACAGCTATTAATTTTTGTGCAAGATAAACCACATGTCAAAGTGGTTCACCTTTAACTTTATCTCAAATTGAATATAAGTCCTTAATAATATAAAAAAGTCGGACTTAAATCTATCAACAATATTCTAAACATGTCTTTAACATTATTATTACTAGCTCCCATAATGTTATAGGAGATAATAATGAAAACATCCTTCAACTCAATCATAAATAATTCTATAAACATAAGATCTACGAAACTATCATTAAGCACTAAGGCCCATAGCACTAGATGTGCTTCAAAATGATGTTTTTCATATTAATATATATTTCAAAAATGTTTATTTTAGCTTTTATGTAAAATTTTATATTTTACCAAATATCTGATGAATACATGTTTAATTAATACATTTGCATAACAAATTTGTATTCATTGGATGGGTAGTGAAGAATTGCTACCCATATTCATTCATATTTCTTATGTTTAATGTGAATAGTAAATGTAGAATGTAATTAGACTTTATTTTAGGGAAAAAAAATCAATATAATTTTAACATGCTTATAAGGACTACAGAGGAGAATAATTTTCTTTTTTTAAAACTAGTTATTAAACACTTCCAAGGTAGACGCGCTGCTTGACCTTGTACGTCATTTTTACATTAGAACTGGGAGCCAAAGAGTGAAGGTTATAAGCAGATAAGATCACCAAAATTATTCACAATTTTGTAGACGACTTGTGTATATGAACTGAACTTTTAACTGCTTGAATGAGGACAGTAACAGTAAATGAAATTTTCCGCCCATCTATAACTAATGGCATTCAAATGTTTATTAGTCATCTCTATATATTAAAGAAAAACAATTATCTTGAAAAAAATGTTTTTAAACATTTTTTCTACATGAAATTTTTTAATAATTCTCTTGGCTTTTATATATTTTAATTTTTATTTATCATATTTATAAATTAAATCAATCATATATATTAAATTTAAACAATTATCATGAAAAATTTGTTTGCTACGAGAGAATTGTGTTTTTTTTAACTACTTACCTATTCCAATTTTATATATATATATTTACAAGTCAATCCCTGTATATTTATAGGATTAACCATATGGTTGAGAAAGGTTTTGGAATAGATAGAAGTATAAAACCTACAATTTAATTCTCATTTTATCAAAAAACAAAAATGGACACGTTAACATTTTTAAATATTTTTCTTCAACAAGAAAGTTTATAAAAATTCTTTTAACTTCTTATATATTTCAATTTTTATCTATCTTTATTTATAAATTAAATGAATATTTTAAAAGTAAAATATCAATAATTAAAATAATCATTATATATGTAAATATAATTTATATATTTAAATACAGTATTTATTTGTGTGTGTATATATATATATATAAAATAAAGATTTAGCCTCGACAGGCTAAAATTACAAATACTCCAACTTGCACGAAGCCTATGATCAAGATGCTGGCTGCCCATTAGAGACTAACATTCCAATACGCTTGTCCAAACACGTAGGGGCTGCCGAACGTTATTGCAGTGAATATTAATGATTACTTGAATCGAGCATTGCTTAAAGTTTTATGGTGAAAGAAATCCAATAATTCCTTGGGCTGCAGTGCTACGAGAACGAACAATTGTTCATGGCATGCTACTTTCCAAAACCACATGACATGTTTAAACAAAACTAACTAGGGTTTCTTAATTTTTACTACAACAACCACGTTTCACCAAGTCCTCAATAGCCGTTATAATTTTATTAGGATCGCAAGCACCGAAGAAATTTTGCAAGTTTTCTGTCCCTAAAATTAATGGTTGAGTTATAATTTATATTTAAGCAAATATTATGGTACAAGACGATGATCTGGGTAGGGCATTTCCCTTGCATGTATTTTGAATCCCACATCCTAGGGCAGAGTGATTAGCGAAATCTGGACAATGAGGGCCAAAATAACTCGGCAATGCAAATAAACTGTTACAATTCACTTGGGATCAAAATGAAGCCGGTGGGCCCCTCCCCTCCTACCTTTAAACATTAGATAAGAGATCCTGTTCACAGCCATTTAAAATCTGCAACATCTGTTATGTGCCGCCTAGAGCTCAACCCATCAAAGTTCAAACTCCTGGAGTGAAACGAAAAACCCTATGTTAGCACCCAAATTATAAAAATAGTACAACATAGCCTATCCAACATCTTTTGACATTCACAGCAAATGCAATTCACAAGCCCACCATCTCCAAACATCCCATCAAACTCGTAATAACGATAAAATGTGTCATTATCTAAATTAAAAATGACTGCAGCTTCAGTATTTTTAAAAATTCCAAAATAATTTATTCTCGTTTTTCAATGTAATATAAAAAATAATGCATTTGTTGATTGAGAATGAAGCTATTTTAGTAAAATTGTATGAAAACATTATATATTTAATGCTGTTGTTAATCTATGTAAAAACTTTGAACCGCAATCATTTTAAGACGAAGGGAGTAATAAATATTCATTATTCATCATATGAATTGCAAGTTGCAAGCATTCAAAGAGGGGATAGATGAGTGAGTTCAAGGACACGAACCTGCAGGCTTATTTTTCCACATCAACTCTTGTGTAGAATGAATACCCTGAAATGGATTCAGCAATTATGATTAGACTACAAGGGATAATAAAATGAACGGAAAGTGTGTGAAATGAAACTATAATACCTGTGAGTAACGAACAGGATCACCACTAGAAATGACCGATGCATGCAAGTGTTTATAACCAACTTCCTGAAAAGCAAACAATTTTCAATCAAATAAAAAAGAGAGACAGCTAAATATTAATAATACAAAGAGCAATAGAGGCCACATATATTAACTTGAGTTTTTATTGCGGTTAAGCAAATATGGACAAAAATAGTATTACCTGAACATTTTGAGGACCCGCAGCTCCATATGCCTGGAACTAAAATAGGACAAAGGAAAGTCACCAACATAAAATCCCTTTCAATGTCAAAATGAAGTATGTAAATGTCAGAGATGCTTACTGAAGAAGACAAAGGCTGCTGTATTTGTTGCTGAGGGAGAACCTGTCCTTGGAGATGACTTTGGGGTTGAACCTGTTGGATATGTACAGCTTGTTGGGCAGGTAGTATTGAAGGTTGTGTCTGAATTTGGGACTGCTGAACAGATGACCTTCGCTGTTGCTTTTGTTCATATAACGTCAATTCCTCAGGTTTTTCCCACTATAGGTTGGTTCTAGCAAACGTTAGTTCCACAAATATAATTAAAATAGCTAAAATAATGGCAACTCAAATTAATACTTACCCGACTTTCACCAATGACACTGTTATAGTAATACTTGAAGCCCTCCGGAGAGATATGTTCTGTCCAGTTACATTTGGCAAGAGCCATGTTCTGGCTTATTGCAGCTGGTAAGGCAGAAGTAGCAGGAGTGGATGAAGGCACATCTGCAGCTGGTGCAGCTGCATGAGTGCTGGCCACTACTTGTGCTACATTTCCAACCCATTGAGACTACAGGAATACAAAATCAGCACACAGTCATTATTATGAAAGCATCTGCTAATACGCCCAAGAAAATTATAAATGATGCAGCCTAGATCATAGCATAATGAGAAAACTAAAAAAAGAAGAGATTTTGCGTACAACCAGTCCCATTAGACACCAATAAATTAGGTCTTATCAAATCAATTTGAAGAATACAATCCATGGAAAATGCAAATATCAAGAAATTTTCATTGTACAACTGATTTGCACCAAACTTCATAGATCAGTCTGATCAAAGCAAATTAAGCAAGAATACTGGTCAACTTGTGACACCTTGTACTAGGAGAGATGTGGAACAGCTAACAGAATTCAAATTAAAATATAATATTGGCAGAGTTTAACAAAACATACCTGCTTTTTAGTAGTTTCTGCATTTTGCTGCAATGTCAATGCTTGACTAGAAGGTTGCATCATCTGCAATTGTTGTTGAAGCTGGGAAAAGGCCTGCTGAGATGAATGAAAACTTGCTTGCAAAGTCTGTGTCTGTTGTGACAACATCTGAGCTAATGGAGAAGGGGATTGCTGAAGAGGCTGAAGTGGCTGTTGCTGCACAGAGGGAGGAACTTGTTGATTTGGAGTAGTAAATGCAGTATTAGATTGCTTTCCGGTATCAAGAGGGGTCTGAGGAATTGCAGTAGACAAAGCACCCTGTTGAGCTTGGGACTGAGATGTTGGAAACTGTGCACTTACTCCATGCATCTGCTGAGACAGAAGAGGACCAGCAGAGAGAGGGGGGCCATGCTGCCTAAGAGATGTTTGTGGGTAGGGAACAGGTGCTTGAGGATACATCTGGTGGGAAGGTGGCAGTTCCTGAGATGATTGAATAGGTTTCTGCATTGGTGATACTTGTTGATTGACTGGTGGAATTTGTGGCATGGGCTGATTGAAATTCTGAGGGGGAAAAAAATAATAATACATTTAAAGCTACCAAAGAGGAACTAAAGCCTAATTATTAATTAATATCAAGTCTAAATTGTGTGCAAGGAATCTTAGTAAACAATATACCTGTTGTGACATCGATGGCACAGACTGAACTTGATAACGACCATCTATGGAGCCACCCAAGCCAGTCATAGGACCACCCTATATTTGTTAAAGCATACTATAAGCAACAGTATTTGTGAATGTTGTGTAGAGCAAAATACAGATACTTGAAAAATAAAATAAAATAAAATAGAGAAACAACAACAAACAAATGCATTTAACTAGCAATTAGGAGCCAATATTTTGTCAAATATCAAATTTGATTCAAATTTAAATATATTACAGGAAAATTCTAGTGACACACTCTTTTCAAACCCGCCCCACTATATCTTAGTTGAAATACAATCAATCCCACTAAATGATGTTGATTAGTTAAGTCCTAATCCCTATTTAGTAGAATCCAATTGTATTTTATCCAATAATAGTGAACAGTTGTCAAGTTAACTCTCTGTCAAACTATTTCCCAGATAAACTCAGCCAAAGTGTAAAGTGTAAACTCGCATGAACTCTCGGGTTAAAAAGTGAGTCATTGAGTTTGAAATTAAATGTAATTTTTGCTCCCCATAGTCACAATGTTTTATTAGGATCAAATGATTTGAAGAAATTAACTCCCTTTTTAAATGTTTTCACTTTATTAACTTGAGATTTTATTAATTTATATATGATTTGGTCAATTATGTAGTTTGGTCTTATTCAGTACTAATACTATCATGCTATATTATTGTGGTTTGCTACTTTGCTTTATTATGAAATTAAAATTTTGAATTATTGTTGTCTTAAGAGTATTATATTATACATATATGTCATTAATGTATTTAAATTAAAAGACATAGGAGGATAATGTGTATTCAGGATTAGATCTATGTTGACACATAAAACTCAAAGTATTGTTTTTCATTCTTTTGATTACATTAGTTGACAACAAAAAAATAATAATGTCAATGCCCTACTGGGCCAAACTCCACTGTAGTCTGCTGAGTGCCAACAGTTTAGCAGCAAGAAATCATAGCATCTACCCAAAATGCAAAACTAAAGCAACAATAAATATACATTTTAAAAATGAAAAAGGTGGGATGTTGGTGCATTTTGCATTAGATATTTGGATTTAAGGTAAATCAAATTTATACTTACTGCATTTGTAGGCAATGCCATGTCACCAGATCTTGGAAGCAATGGTGGTCCCATGCCATGAAGACCAGCATTAGAGGAAGGCCCCATATTAGGCGGATGCATTGGACGCCAAGCATTAGGGGGAGGCATACGATCACCCATAGGATCTGTAATATTAGACGGATGTCTGCAAATAGGAATTACAGAAGAAATTATTGTAATAAGTCCTAACCTGACAAGAAGGTAATAGGGGAACCATACAAAAAGTAGAAGGAAGAAGTAAAGGTGGGAGGATACCTTGTGCCTGGTGCATCAAATCTAGGACCGAATCCTGGGCCACCAAATGAAAGACCCCTAAAGCAAGACAAACAAAATTTTAAAAAACTACTGTGCATATATACATAACATGCATTTGAATCGTGGCACATCTAAAGGATACATGGTCAGAACAACAGTTTGGTATTGATATTTATCTTTATTTTTGCATCAATACAGAAGTTGATTCATATTCCAAGCACACATGTCAAGAATTCTTCATGTAATTATGTGTAATTGTGTAATAAAGTTCAAGGTGAAAAAGAAATTCCTTCCCTTCATCCCTGATGAACAGAAGTATATAAGTGACAAGAAAGAAGAAATGACTTTTTGGAGTAAAAAATCAGGATCAACAAAAAATCTATTCCGTCAACTTGTACAACAAATCCTAGACTTGTTTTAGACCTCTTCCATTTGAAGAGGTGCCTTTTTAAAATGTGAACTATCCAAACTAAAGAAAGCAAACATCCCAGAATTATGGTCCAAATTCAAATTGCCAACTAAAAGAATACTTCTTGCCTAGGATTGATTTCATATTCATATCAGTGAGCACAAGTCAATTTCTGGATCAAGTTTAAACAGTCCGTTGCTCCATGCTATGTTTAATTAGTTAACCTTAACCTTAAAATGCACATTCATGCTTAAAGATTATCAATTAGACAAGACAAACCTGGAATCTCCTTGACGAGGCCTTTTGGGATCAGCAAACCGAACAATTAGTGGTTGCTCACAACCCTATGCAGAAAAATACAAGATTAACCGGAATGCTTTCTTAAGGAGAATTATTAAAAGGAAAAAAAAATATAGAATTTTTTTCTTACTCTCATTGTGTAGGTTCCATTAAGTCCATTAATAGCCGCCAGAGCCATATCTCTGTGAGAGTATTTAACAAAACCACATCCTTCAACCAAAATAAGAGAAAATATTATATATTGAGTATTGACATCAAACACACATGCATACAGAGACACAAAAATGTAACCCCAGAATAAAAAATTGTGATGCCTCCAAACATTGAAGGGAATGGTCAAAAACAATAGCACACATTGCACCAACCAATTCATACTTTCCTCAAGAACATTTATGAAACTGAAGCACACAGAAACCAACCCCTCACCCCCATGGTTCCACCCCTTACATGGTTTCCAGCTAATATCCCATATGGTAGAAAACGTACCACGACTTTGTTTCTTCTCATCACGCATAAGATATACATCTTCAATCCGACCATATTTTGAGAAAATCTGATGCAAGAGACAGTGAGACACCATCAATCAGTTCAATGTTAATAATAACAGAGGCATCATTAATCACAGGCATCAGGTCCCTTTGCCAAAGTTTCCCTTTTGCAAGACAACACAAAAAAAAAAAAAAAAAAATACCCCACTAAAAATACTTGTATAACAGCCTCTACTGTAAAATTTTATTGCAGCAAGAAACATACTTCCTCAACTTCCTTTACAGAGGCCTGTTTGTTCAGAGAACCGACGAATAATTTGTACTCAACGGCACCTATCATGTAAATTAATGTGCATAAGCATGAAATAATCAGTATAATTGTCAGATGACTAATGACAATGATGCACTGACAAATACAAAAGCACATCCATGCATAAATTCTTCACCTAGAACAGCCTAATTTTCAAAAAAATCAGTTTCAGAGCATGTTCAGATGGAAATGGTATTGCTAGTTTTTTCTTTATCAACTAATTAGCTGTTCTAACCAAAAAGTAAATTTCAATAGCAGTTTTAAATATATTTCGGTAAAACACCAGGTGAATGTGAAACTACTACAATAGACAAGAGGTTTAGAGCATATGAATGAAGTTAATAAAAGTGACAAGCATAACGTCCCTAGAACTTCAATTAATTAACTATGACACAAGTTTCCATACGTAAAAGATGTTTCAAACATTTCATCAGATTTCATAAGGACCCCTCATGCAGCAGGTTGACAATCAGGCCAGAGAAAAGTAAAAAAAAAATTATGTAATCATTGTGTATTGTGTATATTATACATGTAGCAGTAAGAATGTTCAAGCCTAGCAGTGGCAATAAATATAAAATACTTACCAAGGCGTTCCCGTTCACCATCAGCATATCGCACTTGGATTGGACCAACACCCTAAATAATAATATTTAAGTGTCAGTAAATTACTAACTATAAGCTCTCCTCACTATTTATTATGTAGAATTCAGAAGCACGACTCACTCCAGGAAGAGTATGTTGATTGTGCAGTGCTCTAATTGCCTGATCAGCTTCTTCTGAGGTACCATATTTTATGAAACAGCAACCTGCATGACAAAGATACTTTATACCAGTTACATTAAAATATAACAGCCCCCCCCCCCCAAAATAGGTATCAATAAAAATAGATCCACAAAAAAATACATCTGACAGAAATAGGATAGAGGAAAACTAATTGTAATTGCAAAAAAATACTTGTAGCTTTACAAAACCCGTATAATCAATGTGTGACAGTAATTGTAAAAAACTAAGCCTAGCATTGTCTATACTCGATTAAATGAGATTGATTGTTCTAGTGTACTTTCTAACAACTATTTAGGGAAAGAAAAGACTAAGGAGAATTCATAAAGAGATAAAACAGAAACCACATTATATTTGAACACCTAGCTTTTAATAAGGCATCAAAGCCATATAAAATAAAATTTTCAACTGACGTCCAAGAACCAAGATAATTTCATAACAAGCAACCATACACAAAGCTACCAAGCATCAACTAATCAAATGATAGTTCCACAATAATCTTATTAGAGTATACTTGATTCTATATTTCTCACAAACATTTCTAGAAACAACTGCCAGTGCAGTGGCTTTAATGCTCTTATAGATTGAAAACTTAAAAAAGATTTAAAGGCACTAGAATTTCATGCACTTGAAATTTGGTTCCACGCAAATGTTGCACACATTCTATGCAGGTAATCCACATCAAATTAGGTAGGATCTTATGTGTCCAATAAAGAATTCTGTATTGTGCAATCCATCCACAAACAAAAAAATGGCTTGCAGCCAAAAGTTACTTGAATTTCTCGGTCAATGACCAATAACATGCTGATTTATCAGCATTCAATGGGGCAGCTAACTAGTTACTGCAGCCACAGCTGAATTTAACAATATATGACTAGCACATCATCAATAACTGCTTTTGTTAGAGCAAATAAACTCCTATTTTACATCTCCCATCAGAGTTTGACATATTCTCTGGGTTTATACCTCCCCAAAGCACAGAAAAACTGATCATTAATAATATTACCCATAGAAAAACTACAAACGGGTAGAGGCTTAATTAAGGCCACCACATTGCATAGATCCTCACAACAGCACCAGAAATACTATCATTTACTAATATGTCCACACAACTGCACCTATATAATATAAAAACCAGACTGCTTTCTTCCTGCGACTTGAAATCATACAAGGTTGCAATAAATTCTTGTGATGAAGCACAACTGTGATTCCAACTTTAGTATCAAACAAATAAAGGCCAGCGCTATGCAATATTTCAGAGCCGCTGAGAATCAAACCTTCCATGATGACCATTTGAACAACTATATTTCCTTCCATTAAACTTTATGCACCAACAGAATAGTCACTAAGAGTATAATGGGCCAATTGGCACCAGACCCAGTCAAATAGAGAAAGAAATACCTATTCATACCTGTCGTACTTTAAAATAAAAATGTATACATGATCACTGTTGTTATCCTAAACCAGTGCATTTCCAATTGTAAAACAACCACATAGCTTCTTAGAAAGATTTGCAAGGGGCTGCATTATTATAGGCAATCACAAACATCGTGTCACCAAGAAGCAAAATCATTGTTCAAAATGGGCACCATTCTAAAACCATAAGATATAGGAACATCAAATCCAACATGGAAGCATAACAATAACACCAAAACTACTTGCCTAGATTTTACATAAAACACAAATTATCAGCCATCAATCATGTCTTCAACAGATACCGCCCTGCCACTCATAAGTTAGCTAACGAAGTATCAATTCCAGCAAACACCACACACTAATATCAATCATCATCTACATTTAGTCATCCCAACTTCATGGCCGCCATTCATTCAATAAACACTTATTCACCAAAATATGAGAATTATTAATCCTTCAGAAATACATTGTGATTAACACCATTAAAATGTAATAATCCAAGTTCTTCCTCTGTTCCCTTTGTACAATAACAGACTGCTAAAATTTTGACATAAAAAGTCTACAAGCAACCAACTACAATCAAATGTTTGGGTAATGCCCCCACTGCTGCAGCTACGATTGCAAGAGCAAGATCTTTTGGTCCTCCAAGATCCCATCTGTTTACAGGTTTACATATTGTGGCTCCTTCAGTTATGACATGACGAAGGTTAAAAAGGATGGAACCCATACTAACAAGTCTGAACTTGTTGCAAAACAAACTGAGATGATGATGAGCTTATTTTTCTCTACCATCAGCCTCTCAAAAAACCTGAAATAAAGTGTATATGAATCAAAATATCCTCAGAATTTAATTAAAACAAATACCTTGATGTTGTCCTGTCTTTCTATCTTTGATGAGAGCAACCTCAATCACAGTCCCATGTTCTTCAAACAATGGCCGAATCTGGCATTAAATAATCAAATAATTCTTAGAACTTAGAAGATAATATTAGTCATTAATAAACCAAACTAAACGACAGTCAACATCCTTCAATGTTATAAAAAATAAGAAATCATTAGAATATAACTTACATCTTCTTCAGTGGCTGTTCGAGGAACAGATCCAACAAAAAGTTTGGCAAAACTTCCACCATCCAAACGATCTGAAAGGGAAAATGTGTTATTTGTTTCCATTACAACAGTGCTATAAGTGATATCTAAGTTAGAGAGACGATAGAATTGGTAAGGCAAAATTACAGCAATAATTGAAACTCTAGGTGGCTTCAAAACATACAGCCACTGCCAATGTTATTTCTTTTCGTTACACCAAAGCTAAAAGTGATATTGAACTTATAGAGATGTCAAAAGCAATAAGGCAAAATTACAGCAATAACTGAAACAACTCCAGTTTGCGACATAACATACAACCACTACCAAGCATTATACCACCCCACTAAATACTACTCCAGATTGACAGAATAAGTAAATCACCACATATCTAAAGTATCTGAGAGAGAAAAACTCATCATTAGTTTCCATTACACCAATGCTATAACTGATATCAAACTTAGAGAGATGACAAAAACAGTAAGGCAAAATTACGGCAATAACTGATATAACCAAGGTCATGACAAAACATAATAAGTAAATCACCACATATCTAAAAAATATAAGAGGGAAAAACATGTCATTTGTTTTCATTGCACCAATGCTATCAAACTTGGAGAGAGAAAAAGAACAGTAAGGCAAAATTACAGCAATAACTTATATAACCAAGGTCATGACAAAACACAATAAGTAAATCACCACATATCTAAAAAATCTAAGAGGGAAAAACATTATCATTTGTTCTTCTATTACACCAATGCTATGAGTAATATCAAACTTAAAGAGACAACAAAAACGGTAGGTCAAAATTACAGATATAACTGAAACAAGGACGTAACAAAACATACAACTACCACCAAGCCTTGTGCCACCCACTAATTGCTACTTCAGACTAAGACAATAAATCAATCACCGCATAATCTTGGGGCAGCCTCCACCCCCCCGACGTAAATTATAAAGCAACAATGCTCCAGCATCCCCATAGCCCCAAAAATAAATAAATAAATAAGCTGTTGTTTGCCACAAAAACAAAGGCCAGAACCGGCATTGTAAAATATCCAATTATTGGCCATATAAATTAGCACTCTTAAACCCTAACTCCTACCAATGGTTTAAAGACTATGGCCTCAATTTGATAAACTCCTCCATAAACACTCATCGAAGAATAGGATAAAATGAATTAATTAATCTTCTCTAGTAAACTAAAATCAATTTCCCACATTAGTTAAAATCAACTTCTCCCATGTTTTCCTCTCCTATAAACAAAATGCTTACCGAGAAGCTTATCCAAACAAGACCTGTATGCTGAATAATATCCGGAGAAAAGCAAAACCTATATGCTCATCATGCCCCATGTTAAAGCAACCCTAAAAGCAATAGCTATATGCTCAATTCAAGATGCCCCATGTTCAAGCAACCCTAAAAGCAATAGCTATATGATCAACACGCCCCACGTTCAAGCAACCCTAAAAGCAATAAACATTCTACGAAGTTGCAAATAATACTACCAAACGTCAACCGCAACAATTGAAGTTCTTCGAAAATTATAAAAAAGAAAACCCTATGTTTAACCCTCAACATTCTCGAACCAAACAAAACAAATAACAGAAGAGGATAAAAAAACTCACCGGGAGAACCACCGCGTCCGGAGAAAGGAAACCCTCGTTTCTGGCCGGCAAGCGGCGGTGGCGGCTGGTGGCCGTTGAATCCGAATTCCCCAGGACCCTCGCCGCCCATCGGCCGGAAGCCCCCGCCCCTGCCGGGAGAGCGACGCGGCGGACTGTCGAAGGCGCGGTGGTGCGGGGGGGCGGCGGAGCGGAAGCCGCCGGGGCTCCGACGCGAGTTGTGGTAGGTCATGGGAGAATCGGAGAAGCGCGAGTGGGAGTGGCCCCTGTTGGAGTGACGATAGTTATCATTGTTGTTGTTGTAACGCTCTCCTCTGTGCCTATCCAGCTTGGCTTAACACGGCGAAACCCTAACCGAAACCCTAGAGAGAGAGAGAGAGAGAGAAAGAGAGAGAAAGCGAAGTGAGTGCGGAGAGAAATGTGTTCCTTTGCTCTCCGGTGGAGTGACACCTTTTCTGGCTACGATGCTACACACAACAATCATAAATTCATAATTAATAAATAACGAATGAGACGACGAAGAAGAAAGGAACGACGACTTGACCCCTGTTTGTTTGTGCCAGCAGACTGTACCATTTCTACTAATGGGCCGGCCCACTCACTCCCTTTTTATCTCGGCCCTTTCGCTACTTTCAATACTATTTCTCATTTCTTAAATCTAACTCTCCATTACTCACACTCTCTTTAATATAATTCTTTAATTTAGGCTTTTCATTTTTTTTAAATCTATTATTGCCACATGAGATTTAAGTTATTCACGCTAACTTAAGTTATTAACATATCATCACTTTCATTTATTTTTTCATAATCAGGTGTCATTTTTTTCTTATATGCTTTATTCTTATAAAAAAAATTATACTTTCATTATAATTTTGTGTTTAATTTAGTTAAAAAATAAAAAATATGTTTAAACTAATAACTTTTTATATTAAGTTTTATTTTATTTTTACAATCGTATGAAAATTTCTTTTTTGGCATATTTTTTTTCATAATTATACATTAACAACTTCTATAAAAACTCATTTTATATATATA